GCTACAGGTTTTCAAATCAATAAATTGACAAGGGTGTCCTAATTTATGCACTGGACTAATTTTATTTAAGTATTTCTAGCACACTTTTCTGGAACTACTCAACAGTTTTGACAAATCCGAGTCTGGTTTTCGTAAAAAGCATTTAACAGAAACAGCTTTGCTTAAAGTTTCCAGTGACATCATGATGGCTGCAGACAATGGGGAATTCACAGAGTTAGTATTGTTAGATCTTTCTGCAGCTTTTGACACCGTTGATGACAGCACCTTAATTAACAGACTTGGTGACTCGGTGGAGATCTCTGGAACTGTTCTAGACTGGTTTAGATCGTACCTTTCTTACAGAAGTTACTGTGTCTGTATAAACCATCCATCGACATATAAATGTGTCTCAGTCCCAAAGCAAAGTGACCAGTAGGGGGCAGAGGGACTTCACATCAGCCCACGGTTGGTGTTAATCCGAGTGTCCGCTTCCACTCAACTTCTCTCAAGAGGGTTTTGGAAATTAAACTGCAGATATTTTGTGGCATCATTTAGTACTAAATAAATACTCAATCACAGTTGAAACAACGTCTATATTTATGTTTATTCATTGTTAAGTGTGGGGAATCCTGTACGTGTTCTAAGTGAAAACCAGTTCAGTGCTGATGTAATGATGGTGTTAGTGTGTTTCCTGCTTTATCTTATTATGGGATTTTTCTGGGAAGAGATTTTATTACCAACCCAATTAGTTCTAGTGGCTCATGGGGGACGATTAAAACGATCCTCTTACTGAGGACAATTTTATGACTCATCCTGACAATAGTTAATCTGCTCTCCTGTGTTAGAGACATTTTAACAGGTTCCATCACCCATCCATCCATCCATCCATCCATCCATCCATCCATCCATCACCTATCCATCCATTACCTATCCATTGTAACGTGATGAAGGAGCTATTCCACCAAAGGTTATTTACCTTCTCTCCTCAGGAAGAACTAATCTGCATGAGACTGCCTCAAGGTCATGCATTTGCTTCTAAAACTTTCCTTTCCAGCTCAAGAGAAGAATGAAGAAAATAACTCTTTCTTTTTAATACATCAGAAGAACTCTATTTTTAATGAAGCTAATCAAAGTGTTAACCAATAATAAAATGTGAACCAATCTGTGAAATGAAAATATTAATTACTTGATATTATAATCCTATATAATATAATAAGTAATATACCTTTAAAATATTTCCACTAGAGACTGATCACATGAAATACTTAAAAGTCACATGACACATAGCTTTTACTGATCCAATCAGAACCTTCCAGATCTGATGCGAGGCGTGGTTTTGTTGGTGTTTTGGTAAATCCCCCTTTGGTGGCGTTCTCTGATTCGACCGTAAATAAAAACATCCAAATTATAAAACTACGCCCACGTCATCTTTAACTTCAGTTCAAAGCGTTCTAGAGAAGTTGTCGGAGTAGCCAATCCGTAACTTTCCTCTTCAGCCAAAAGAACGAATGACAAACTGGATAAATCTGTTGCTACAACGGTTCCTTTCAGAATAAAAGCTGAACCACCACGACCCCGTTTTGGGTCTCGCTAGATGCCAATAAAACTGTCGTGACCCAAAAGTCTCAAGACTGGTCTGGTCGGCAACCGTTGCTTTTCCTACCGGCTGGCTTCGGTTCCAGAGAAGGTCAAGCTGGACCTCGACATTCCTGATCTGACGGGGACTTCCGAAAGGGTACGTAGGCTGACAGAATGGCATCTCAATGTGTGTTCGAAATCTCCAAACCAAAAGCTTAGCGTCCCATCAGAACTAAGCGTTTCTCCGGATTTGCTGGTTCTGAACAACATTCCACACTACACCATTCTCCATCTCAATTCACCTTAGTTACACCATTTAGTGTTTAAAGTTAGTCTAGTTTAATTTGTTTAGTAATAAATCCTTAAACTTTTAAAACTTGACTCTCCTTCTTTTGTCTCTGAGTTAATACGAAGTTGTTACATGATCCCTGCAATAAAAAGTTCCAATCTTCTGGTTTAAATCATCCAAAGGTCCATAAGATTTATTTCCTATTTCCTATTGAATCTCACACTTTACGGTTCATTAAATAACATGTAAATTTAATCGTTACACCATCCATCCATCCATCCATCCATCCATCCATCCATCCAACCAACCAACCAACCAACCAACAGTGAGCTGCAGCAGTCCAAGCATGAGGAGATGAAGGTGTGGCTCTTATTTGAGATCTTGCTTCTTCATAGGTAGGTGAGAGTTGGAACCAGGAAATCCAGAGCTCCAGCTCCCATTTAGCCATGCCAGACTGGAGCCACACCCTCATTACTGAGGTTACCAGGAGGGTTTGTCACATGTCTCTGGGGAGGCTGGGGACATGGACTTCCTGTTCCAGTGGATGCACAGATCCAGGACAGACACAGATACTGTCAAAGTGTCAGTTTGTCACTTAGTCCTGTGATATTTTCCAAATAGGCAGCATCATTCTGTCAGATAAGATCTGCTCACCGCGGGGTCGCCTCTGCAGAGTGTCAGCTCTCCTCTGAAAACAAAAACAGACACTTTGAATCTGTGGACGCCATAAACAGACTGAACAGGGCCCGGTCGTTATTCAGCAACAGAAGGAAACTTAGCTCTAGTTTTTGTTGCATTTTATCAATAATTGTGTAGTGTAAAGTGATGGAAGTGGTTACTTTTAATAAATGATCAATAAGATGTGATAATCCATATAAATATGAATGATCAATATTATCGATCTTCTGAAATTTGATCTACGATGAAACCAGGTCTCTTTGGTAGTTCAGGGAAATCACACCTTTGTAATAATTTGAGACAGATGCAAAAATATAGTTTATAAAAATCAGTTTAATACTTTATTTCTACTACTAATGATGACACAGAACACACTGCCGGACACACTGCCGATGGTGTTGACTTCTGTGGTATTTGGAGCACGTAGTTCCACCCCGAATACGGAACCGTCTGGTCTGAGATACCTTCCGGGTGACTGCTGGAAGCTGGCAGAGCTATTTTGCATTTGATGCAGCTTTGCAAAGAAGGTTTGTCCTTGAAGGATGACTCAACACTTACCTGCCTCTGCTTGGCCGGGCCGAGCAGATTGCAGAACTGAAGTGTTCAGGAAGTGAACTCTTTTATTAAGTCTAGTTTATCAATTTGGACAAATTGGAATTGATAAGTTAAAGTGTGCGGTTATCAAAATCCCTCAGACACCATTCCTTTCTCAGAGGTTATCTCCCCTAATGTGAAGTAAAAATGTTAAACATTCATAATAATATTGTTCATGTGTGAATATACTGATAAACAAATCATTATTGTATTCCACAAATAGATTAATCTGGTGTAATTTAATCTCTGGAATAAATCAGGAATGAGCATTTGTTAACCCGTTATACATTATTGTAGAGCATGATTAAAACACACATCTGTGGATGCACAGATAAAAAACAATGTCCGGCCATCTGATGATACACAGGCCTTGAGCACACTGCAGTAGTTTGCAAGTTAACTGTGAATTTACTTTTCCGTATGATTAAATAGGATGGATTTTATGATGGAGCCATCCAGGGTCAGACAGAATTTAAAAGCATCAGGTCAGCAAACCACAGAGGGTCCTTGTCTTCAAAGACCACCTGAGAGACAGAAAATCTCAAACTCTTTTGTTTAATATTAACTGAGTTACACTGGCTCATCCCTTTAGTTATGTTGCTATAGGATGAGACTGATGCTGGAGATACTGTGTTATCCTGACTCACCCCTTTAGTTATGCTGCTAAAGGCCCTGACCACATCTCCTCACTCTGCTGCTTTACCCTCCATGTTTGTATTTACTGTTGTTGCAGCCATTAACTTTGTGCTCTCTGTTTTAGAAAAGAGAATTGGTCCTATCCTCCTTGGTTTGTCTCTGTTTCCTGTCCTCTCAGACAGACCCCAGTCTGTCTTGGCAGGAGGACATCCCTCCTAGTTCTGCTGAAGGTTTCGTCCTTTTCAAAAGGAGTTGTCTGTCTCTGCGTGCTGCTCAGGATGGAGGATTGTGTTTACAGTTTGAACTGCTTTCACCTCAGCAGAGATGTGGAACCCACACGAGAACTGACAGGAACAGAACACCTCTGTGCAGCAGAGAAGAACAACACTTCCTGACTAACTGTGATGCTCCACATTCAGAATGTATTTCCTTTTCTTACTTGTTCCTTTAGGGTCGTGGGGGGTTATCTCCTGCGGTTATTGGGCAAGGGGGCGTGGCTACACCTGAACAGGTCCATGTCCATCATAGAGACACATAAACAGCACCAGAATATCATTCAGAGTCAGATGAACTATAAATATTTGTTGTGTGGGAGTAAACTGTGAGTTCCTGGAGGAAACCCACACCCGCATGGGGAGAGAACACAAAGACACCCCCCCCCCCCCCCCCCCCCCCGCCGGGTGTTGAACCTAAAACCTGTGAGGCAACACAGATTCACTATCATTTACACTCTCTCATGCTTTCCTGCTTTAATTAATGATTCTTATTTTTTATCTATGGTGGCTTTGAAAGGTTTGAAAGCTTCACATAGAAACAGGTGATCTATGATTCTAACGGGTCCCTCTGAGTTTGTCATGCAGGCTCAACATGAAAATAGTCTCCTACGCCTATCTCCTGCATAGCTGCTGATAGAAAATAGACATGAAACACTAGGATTAGAAAATCCCGACAGATCTACGTCACACTGTCACGAACATCATAGACTCACACATCTCGACTCACGAAGGGGAAGGCTCTTGTTGGTTTAGAGTCCAGGAAACAGCAGAGAACGTTCCGGCTATAGAAGCTCAGACTGAAACAGATTTTTGTGTGAATGAAATGTCCTGCAACTCTGCAGCTTCTCAGGTTGATGTTGAAGCTCCAGGAGCAGATACTGGAACAAAGGGAGTAAAGAGCTGATCTAACCCTACCAGAGGACCTGTCTGTGGAACACCAGGAGGTTGTTACAGTAAAACACACACACACATTCTCCAGTGATATAAGAAGTGTTTTATTAATCACAACTAGCTGCTCTAAAATGAAGAAAATCAACCTCAGCTGGAGCCGACGGACAATCCTCTGTTTGGCTCAGAGTCATGATGTCAGTCAGGAATATTTCAGTTATTAGACAGCCGAGGAAACGCAAACACACGGATGTGATCAAACACAACCACTGCTGCCGCTGCTTCCCGTTATCTAACCGGCCCGCTCACCAACCGCCCGTGGGGTAAATGTAGGTCTGCATGAAACAGCAGCTCATCTACACTACTTCCTGTTTGCTGCCAACATTCTGCACAAACTTTGGTTAAAAACAAGCGAACACTGGAACACAGTCGTGTGTGTGTGTGTGTGTGTGTGTGTGGAAGCAGAGCAGCAGTGGAGCTCACTGTTAAACCATCAGGTCAGAGTCAGATCTGAGACGCATCTGATTTTCATCTGGCCTGATGGATTTATGTGTCATTATCAAAAATATGTTTCACTATTTACTTAGGCACTAACATTTTTTCAATTCTACCTCAAGATGTTTACACCTTCAGATCCACGAAAACAAAGAGTATTTACAAACGAGCAGATAAGTAAAGAGGTGAAGTTAGCAGGAACATCAACCCTCTCAAATACCGAGTTAGTGATCCAAGCCGGAGGTGAGGAGACCCAGACGTGTCTGAGGGCAGAAGGCACTGAAGAGGAATGAACTGTTTACAGAAGATTCCTGCTGAGGAGCGTGGAGCCCAGCTAGTGCCCAACACCAAACCCATGTCCATGACTCACAGCACAGCCGACCCGTCTGGGCTGCTGGACTCCCTGAAACAGGATGTTAGTTGGTCGTATTTTTGTTTTTGAAACTGAAAAAGCAAAACAACAAAGGCTGTTTGCTCTGAGTTCCTTATTTAAAACCAATTCAACAGGTTCACTCTGTTCAGATCAAAGTCCCACAAATGATAATCACTTCACATAACCTACTTAAAAACCTCACTTTACATCATCTTGAAAAAGAAAGAACAACAAAAATAATCACAAAAATACTTATTTACAGTCAGCGAACCCCCCAGACTCTCAGCCGGGTCTCACTAGAAAAAGGATCAGATGCTTTCAGTTTTGCAGAGGAGAGATTCTGAGATATTAAACTACTTTCACGTAAAGCCAGGTTAGGGTTATGACTGGACCCTGTGCCTGAGGCTGCACACACACACCAGGCCAGGTGGAGTTCTGTCTTACAGCTCCAGTTCCAGAGAAGAACCATCCCAGTCTGCAGCTTCCCATCATCAGCGGTACTGTTAATGTTGTTGATGGGGATCGGTGTGTCCTGTAGCAGCAGGCAGGTAAAAAACATCCTGTTTAAGAAACGGATCAGAGAAGCGCTCTGGGTTTATGGAGCAGCTGTTCCTCCACCCTGGAGCAGCTGGATGCATGGCTCATGACCAGATCGTGTCAAAGGGGGGGGGGGGGGGGGGGGGATCCGCACCAGCTGATGATGGGATGCTTCTCAAATTAATGAGGGGCTAACAAAGATCCTTCTGTTTAAAAGATGAAAGCTGCCTTCCCTTTTTACATTTGTTGTGTTAAAAAACATCAGAATTGTTTTAATTATTACTAAATCAATGTTGATTTAGGTTGGCAGACACTAAAGGTTCTAATTCTCCATCTCCAATTGCTAAGTGAGGTTTAATACTACTGTAAACAAATACTTGGGTGTTGCCCCAACTCTTTTGTTAACATGTGTTTCTCTAAACTGTGGCTGAGTTTAGCCTTTAGTTGTCTTTAGTGGTTTTAGTTTAAACCATCAACATGGATATCTAAACAAAGGAAGTAGCGCAAAGATTGAAGCCAAAAGGACCAAAATGTACCCTAGTGGCTAGTGGTGGTGTATGTTTTAGGCCCCGCCCCCTCCAATAGGAAACCTTCCTATGTTGATTGTTCTGGTTTAGATGGTTAATGGCTTGTATTTATATAACGCCTTTTAAAGTCCTACGACCCCCCAAGGTGTTTTACAACACCACTTTCACTTTCTTCCTAACAAGACATCGCCTTGCAAGGGCAGGCGCCTTGCTTATGAGGACACTATCATTCCTTGGTCAAAGAAAACAGTTAAATGGAACGGACGTACACCACAGACTGCGGCTTCTGCAGCGGTCACGTGATGTCACATGACACGGGAGGTACCGTTATATTTTATACGTATAAGTTTCAACATGAATATATAACGAACCTTTTACTTTTAAAATTGTGTATGAATTGGTTAAATTAAATTAGTAGGCGAGTTACTACCCGCTAGCCAACAAAGCTACAACTACTAAGCAACTAACCAACCATAGATAACAGCTTTGGATATAAAAAAACATTTCAGATTTCAGCCCGATAGCTACACTTAGTTGGCTTACATTTAAACTTGAAATTTGCCCCGAAGTAGCTGCCGGCTTCTGATCTGCCATGCTTTAGAAAATACCGCGGTGTATTCTGGGAAATTTTTGACCAAGGCCAGGCTACAGAGCACCTCCCGTGTATCCTTGCTCAGCTAGCTAAACGGCTAACAAACACGCCTTGGCGGTTCCTGATGACGTATCTCCTAGGCAACCGGGGCGGGACCAAGACATCAAGGCAAGGCTCCTTGGCATTGAGAAACACAGCAAGTTATTTAGAACAGAGGAAAGAACCACAGTGAACTCCACTTCAGACGCTGTCTTTGTTGTTTATGAGAAACTGAGCGTTGCGGTGTGTGACATATGCTGCTCAACACTGATTGGCTCGGTTAGAATTCTCAGGGGGCGGAGTTATTTGAATAGGAGAGCTAGCCAGTGCTTGGCAGCCTTGCCTCTGTCAGCATGCCCCAGGGCAGCTGTGGCTACACTGTAGCTCATCCCCATCAGTGTGTGAATGGATGAATGATTCACTGTAGTGTGAAGTGCTCTGGGGTCCTCTGAATGGTGTTAAATAAGTGTGTGTCATTTATCATTTAACTAGTTATTTTTATGCTTAAAAACCATTATTAAGTCATGGTGAGTGGGCGGGACTTCAGCCGTGTGAGTAGGCGGGGCTTACAGACCTACATCCTCAATGACGCTGGTTCTAAAAACACAACATGGCGGTTCCTATAAAACTTTACAACTGAATAGTGGTGCAGTTGGTAGCCCCGTTACCCTGCAGCAAGAGGGTTGCATGTTCACCTCATGCTAGTGGCTTAGGATGAAAGTCTGCCAAATGAATTAAGATAAACTACAGATGGAGGTGGAGTTTCAGCCATCTGTATTTAGGTCTAACGCTGACTCAGCACTTAGACTAATGAGTCCAGATAACTCAGAGCTACATAGGCTGCCTGAATGATCATTAGTGAAAACACAGAGGCTGGTTTTCCTCAGCAAAATCAAAAGTATCTGTACTTTTCAGATTTGCATCATCTTTCTTTGAGGGTGAAGGGTTAACTAACGATCCCTGTGACATCACTAGTCTAGTTATTCTGTTTGTGTGACAACCAGTTACTGCAATATTTACAAGGTCAACTGCAAGTACTGAAGGACACTTTAAACCAAGAGAACCTTGCACTGATTGTGTTACAGTGTTTCACAGCGTTTAGGTGGCACACTCCAGAGCTCACTAGGACTATCTACAAACATCAACAACTGGAGCGGGACGACCCCCCCCCCGGCAGATCAAGACGCTCATCTGGATATGCAACAACGTGTCATTTCCTTATCCGTCTGGGAAGGGGTGAACACTCACAGTTCAAAGCAAAGTGGTTACAGTGTTACAAACCTTCATCTACCACTGCGACAAAATAAAAACGTTAGTATTTTACAGTTATTTATAAAAGTAAACCTTCATCTATAGGCTTTTAAAATATATTCCATCAAAAATAGTGTGACAAATTTCAACAGTAGAAAAGAAATGTTATACAAATGACAAAAGCTCTGAAGCAAAATGTTTACAGTAGAAAGTTAACAGGCCAGACTGAACAGGTCTCCTGCAGCCCCCTCAGCTAGTGTTAGATCCATGCAATAACGGAACTATAAATTAACAAATAAAAACTCAGATGAACACGGTAAAGTCCAATTAGAGTCAGTCCCTCGGCTTCTATATTTGTACATATTTGTTGTCCTGCAGGCTCCCGTCACCTTTGGCAAATTGGAGGTGTTGTATCTGAGTCGCGCCGTGAGCTCTGAGCAGGACGGTGGCAGCTTCAAGGTCCGACAGCACGGAGGGAGAGCCACTCAGCCCAGCACAGCAGCCCTCGCCGTCTTCTCCTGGCTCAGATCACAAATGACGATTTATGTCGAAAATCCCCCTGCAGGGGGCACACAGAGCACCAGGAGTGACAGTCAACATCCCATAATCACAAGGATCACAGCGGCAGAGAAGATACACGATTTTACCTCATGACCCTCTGCACAACAGAACACCTCCAGAATCACTGGAGGCTAATAGCATCTTGTACTTTTTATTTTTATCATTTCTAAATAAAAGAATCTAAGATGAAACGTTTACCCTTCTCACATAGTAAAGCGGTATAAAGCCTGGCTAAATTAGCCAAACTGTAAAGGTTCAGGACATTTGTAACTTGTTTTTAAATAACACCAAATATTAAATTACTTTTATAATACGAGAATTTTTCCATTGTTACAAGAACATCATGAAAATGACGGATGTTCTGTGGATCCCTCCAATGAAACTCTTCTCCTCCCCTTATGCCAACATGGACGTCCCACGATAAACAATCACGCGCTGAAACTCCAAGACACGACGACAGGAAAAAACATGTCTGACCTGTCTCAGTGAATTGAAGCAGTGATGGAGAGATGACTGGAAGTAAACCCATCCATCCATCCATCCATCCATCCATCCATCCATCCACCCACCCACCCACCCACCCACCCATCCATCCATCCATCCATCCATCCATCCATCCATCCATCCATCCATCCATCCATCCATCCATCCATCCATCCATCCATCCATCCATCCATCCATCCATCCATCCATCCATCCATCCATCCATCCATCCATCCATCCATCCATCCATCCACTTCTGCTAATCCGGGGTCGGGTCGTGGGAGCAGCAGCCTAAGGAGGGAGGTCCAGACTTCCCTCTCCCCTGTTACTTGGACCCGCTACTCCAGAGGAATCCCAAGGCGTTCCCTGACCAGGTGAGAGACATCATCCCTACAGTGTGTCCTGGGTCTTCCTTTAGATCTCCTACAGGTTGGATGTGCCTGGAAAACCTCACCAGGGAGGCATCCAGGAGGCATCCTAATCAGATGCCCGAGCCACCTCAACTGGCTCCTCTCGATGTGGAGGAGCAGCGGGTCTACTCCGAGCCCAGACACCCTGTGGAGAAAACTAATTTCGGCCACTTGTATCCGTGACCTCATTCTTTCGGTCACTACCCAAAGCTCGTGACCATAGGTGAGGGTAGCAACGGAGATCGACCGGCTTAGCACTCTCGTCACCACGACAGATCGGTACAACACTCGCATCACTGCAGATGCAGCACCAATCTGCCTATCTAACAGCTTTCCCTCACCCGTGAACAAGACCCCGAGATACTAAAACTCCTCCACTTGGGGCAGGACCTCATCCTCGAACTTGAGAAGGCATTCAACCCTTTTCCGATTCAAGAGCATGGTGTTGAATTTAAAGGAGCTGATGCTAAACTAAACCCTGAGGTAGTTTTCCACACAGGTAGGAATCATGGAATTACACATAAAATCCTGCTTCCTTTTCATCCATAATCACATTCAGCTGTGACCTAACTGTGTTCTGTTGTGTCTGACTGTTGTGACATGTTGTTTCTGTCAGAATCAGAACCTGGCCTCAGTGTCGGGCAGACATACAGACCTCGTCCTCTGTCCTGACGTAGTCCACTCCATCTCCTTTAGCTGGGATTTTGTAGCTAGCAGACACAAACCAAACAGCAGTTACGGCCGGCTGGTCGACTGAAGCAAACAAGTTTGATGGTTTGAGTTTTTCAGCCTTACTTGTTGCTCGCCTGTTTGTCGCTGGAGAAGTATCCTTGTTTGTAAGCACAGCAGATCCCAACTGTTATACATAAGAGCACTATAACCACCACCAGCACTCCCAGTATGATCCCCACAATATCAATGTCATCTGTGGAGGCCAACCAGAGCAGAAGCATTAAAACACAAACAACTCCAGTATGCACCGTTCATCCCTGTTAGATACTCACAGACTTCCATCTTCTGGGAAGCACACTCCGCATGCCCGGCATCATTCTTGGCTCGGCAGTAGTACTCGCCCGCGTCCTCCTTCCTCACTGAGATGAATTTCTGCAGCAAAGCAATCACATCCAACTTCTATTAAGACACTCATTAGGTCGCAGATCAACATATTTAAAAAGGGAGGAGGCAGTTTTTGGTTTGCTTTTAGCACCCCCTAGTGTCCGTTTAGTAGAACCAAAAGCAAAGTGTCTTCTCGCTGTGCATTCATCGTTTTAACACCTTAATCTAACAACTGAAACGTTTCCCCAGCCTTCATTAGTGTCTAGAGGTGTGATTCATCACTAAATTAAACAAATCATCTGTGTTCATGATCTAAAATATGCAGAAAATGTGCTGGAAGCAGACTGCAGCACCAGGTATGTCAGCTCAAGTCCACAGGTGGTGGACTGGCACTCTGAAGTTGCAACTGCTGTACTCTGGCCTCAGGGGGCGGTGGGGGTCTGTGTGGCCTGTCATTAACCATGTAAAGGGTCATTTCAGTAAATACTGGCTCAAGAAAAAGATAAAAAAATTTGAAAAGGGCGCATAAAGTTTAATAGTGATAAATAATTAAATAAACATGTAACTTTGCTGTAAAACTAAAATGTTGCAAATAGACACTCAAGTTAAATCAGACACATCTGAGTTCTTGCATAAATTCTGTCTTCTTAGTGAAGTTGCTGAGTCATGTTTCAGTAATTTAAAAGCGACTGTTCAGCTGAATTATTTTAAGGATTGTTTATTTTCTGAAGTGGAAAATTGTTGTGTTTATGCATGGAGACGTGTGACCCTGTGCCTCATCAGTCACATGGTTTAACAGAGGAAAGAAAGTTTCTGTGCAAAAAAACAAACAAAAACTTATTGTTTCATTATTCACTTCAACTGATATCAGTCAAAATGAAGTTTGGTCATTTGGATCAAAAAAGGCTTTTATGTGTGTTTGCAAAGGAAGAAACAAGGATAGATGTATCCTCGTTCACGTAGTCCGCTGTGGGAGGAAAATAAATTGTCTAAAGGTCTTTGGCACCACAGGCTAAAGCTCTAAAGTAGGGATGGAAAATTTATTGGCATCAACATCGGTATCGGCCGATGTTTGTCATCTTTTAACATATCAGTATAGGTTCGATAAATAAAACTGGGCCGATATTAACAACCGATATTTTTTTCCATCTCACCTCCATTTGTTTGCCTGCTTCAGAGGGTGAGGGGGTGATGTGTATTTGTTCAGTCATGCCAGTGATCGTAATCATCTCAGAACTGTAAATGTGTGTGCGTATGTGTGTGAGTATTTTCCTTCTATACAAAATCTGCTGATTTTAGAAGCATTAATGTCATTATATCGGTATCGGCAAATATCAGTTATCGGCCATAACAGTGATCTTGATAACAGATATTGGTATCGGCCCAAAAATTTCATATCGGTGCATCACTAGTCTAAAGCCAAAGATATGCATTTTAACTCATTCACTGCCGATGACGACTAAAGTCGTCCTTTGCATTTTTTTACTGTGTGGGCGTCGGATCAAGCCCCCGCACCGAGAGAACAAACATCTCAGCTCTGAAGCCGATCTTCATCCGCGTACATCACACGTCACATGATCAGGAAGCAGAACATCCATGTGTTAGGAGATTGTTTTGGGCCGCTGCTGTAAAAAAAGTGAGACGCGAACCAGAAAAGTTTCTGCCGATCACAATTCAACAACGGATAATGAAAGAATGCGTGGATTCTTCCTGATGTAAGAGGTGAGTCTCTGCTTTGTTCTGGTAGCTTTGGCGTCGATATCATCCTAGCACGCAACGTTCTGTGACTCTTAAAAAACAGTAAAAATGGTGAGAAACGTTGGCAGAGAATGAGTTGAGGCAAAAATGTCAAATATTTAACCTCTTAAAGCTCGAAACAATAATAATGTTTTTAGAACAGAACCATTTACTGTCTATTAAAACAACTAAATAATAATCAGTTTTATGATGCAATCATAGTGATAAACAAATAAAACTGGCCCTGTTCACCTGTAGACCCTCCACCAGAGGGCAGTAGACATGTGTAGGACAAGTATCGCAGGTTTCTGATGAAGGCACTAATCCTGAGGCTCCTTCTGGAGTCCTTAGGGTCAGAAATGGTTTGATGTGATTTTGTGACAACCGTCAACAAGGAGGTAAAGAATAAAGGTCAAATATGATGTCCCGAGCATAGGCTGAAGTCCACAGAAGAGCAGATCTCAGTGGGGTGAATGCATGAAAAGGTCACCCAGAAATGACCTTTTCACAAGCTCTAATTGTGTTTTTAGTGAGAAGGCAAAAGTAAGCGCTTCAGCTCTCAGAAGTTTGGAGTAAAATCTTGTTTTCAGACGGAGAGACAGAATAGCAGCTGACAGGAGAGCGTCTGAGAGGTGCTGGAAAGTAAGCATGAATTAAGGAATGTGCAAATGAGGGCAGCAGATTCCCCTCGTGGCTCCAGCCCCAGCCCTTCAACTGTCTCCCCAAAATATCTGCCCCTTCCCCTCGATGTTGGGCCACCGCCCCCACTGCCCCGCCCTAGCTACACACACACACACAGACACACACACACACACACACTGACCAGAGTTCCTGTGTCTGCGTTGAGTGTGTACGAGGAGTTGAAGAACTTGACGCTGGTCTTTGGGTCATCTGGAATCTCCTCCCTGTTCTTGAACCACTGGTACTGAGACTTAGGAAAGCCCTCGTCTTCCACGCAGCTCAGCTCCGCCGACTTCCCAAAAGGCACCGACTTTGGAACGCTACACTTTGGCACCACAGGCTTGACTGTTGAGAATATATGATGAGACTCGGCATTATGGTATAACCCCCCCACTGTCCTAATGGGTGTGACCCAGTGTGGAAAGTTGACCATTGAGCAGGGTGGATGGTTTATCCCTTGGGTCCATGTGGCAGGGGTGAGGAGCGAGTACCATCTCACCCCTGCCACGTGGATCCACCCCATGCTCAAAGGTCAACTTTCCTCGCGGGGTCACCCATAAAGACAGTGGGAGGGTTAATGTGGGAGACAAACGTACACATTCTGCATGATGCTGGTAGGTGTGTAATTCACTCTGAAGCTTCAAAAACCAGAGTCACTCTGAACCCTGATAGATCAGCGGACTGCACCGGTGGCAGAACCGGGTGAGAACAGGTTCTCAGAAAACAGCACCAAAACACGCAGCTCTTGCTTTCTTTAGCTGAACAGTTGCAGTTTCAGACGCTTCCTCTTATAGCCCGAACACGCCTTTGCAGCTGGGCAGCTTCGGCCATCACACATCCTCGTGTTTAAGCCAAAGGGGAGGAGTGAACTACAACCTGGTGTCACTTTACAGCATCCAGAGTGTGTTTAGCCAACCTATGTCTTGCTCTGAATAGATACTTATAAACCTGACGTTTAACCTCAACAGGAAAGGTTGTACATTCATCGGTGTGCCAGCGAACCTCTTACAACCAGGTCAATCACAATCTCGTCAAAGGACTTCATATCTTCAGCGGCAGTGACCTCACAGCGGTACTTGGCAGTATCCAATCGAGTGGCGTTGGTTATCAGTAACGAGGCTGGTTCTCTGATCACAGCTCTGCCTTCCAAGCCACCTGTCAGCAAACACAACAGAGCATTAGTGACGAACAGGCCGTGGAGAGATTCACCTGTGCCGTGCGGAGATTACCTGAGATCTTCTTGTCAAAGTACACATAACTTGGCCCTTCACTTGTGATCTTCTTCCATTCAATTCTGGGATTTGTTGTGGAAATGGACTCAATCAAACACGACAACTCGACCTCTGCAGAATCACACAAACAGCAGGTGACATGGGAACAGGAATGAAAGAGTTTTGGGAGGTTGATGAAATCATGATCTCTTACTGTCAAACTCGTCTGTCCAGGGTGACTCGTTACTTGTTTTTAGCACCACTGCTAGCACACTGTGGTAGCCTGAAAGACAACAGAAATGCACAAAGAAGGTGGTGTGAAGCAGGAACTAGGATGCCGACGTACATCACCAGTAGACATCCACTGATGTTGGCCTGGTTTTATGACGATTCCTCAGGGAGGGGTGGAATGTGTTCAGTCAGAGTAGATTTCACTAACGACACAGAGATAACGTCTAGATCTGCTCATACAAACCCTTTAATTACTGTTCTGTTGGTTAAACTGTGTGTGTGTGTGTGTGTGTGTGTGTGTGTGTGTGTGCTGTTTCTTTGCACAGTGGATAATTGTGCATGGAGGCATGTGCCCTTTCTGGACAGGCTCACCATGCCAGTCGTTGAGCCTTTCTCCATCTCTGTCTCTGGGCCTGATGCTTTACCCATGTGGGACTAATGCTACAAAAGCACTGCAGAAAGATCTGAGGAGCATGGCCGTGGGAGGGGGCACTGCTGAATCATCCACACAGCCTATAGTCCACCAAAAAATCAGTTCCACGTGACTGCCAACTAAGGAGCGTGCTCATCAACTCTTCCATCAGCCGATACCTAGAGAGAGGGCCGTGCTCTCGGATGCAGGCTCACAGAAAATCTATTTTGATTTCATCTATTTTCAACCGAACATTCATGTCAGCAAGATGTGGTTTTTATATCGCGGACATTTGGCCGCTGGTGTCCGGGCCACACAAGGTCATCCCACAGCTCGGAGATCTGCTCTGTATAAATGACATGAAGGCTACTCTGGTTATGATAGGCTATAAAACGCCCCAGTAACCATCCTGACCAGAACTGTGAGGTCCTGAACTGGCCCAGCTGACACGCCCTCTCACCCACATGTCTCTGAAGCTATATTTGACCCGATCCAAATCAACAGCAGCAGGTTTCTGAGGGATTGTCAGAATATAAAAGCACAAAGTGCTGACTCATGTCCTGTTCATCACACATTCCTACTCATGTTTTCGTTACATTTTATGAATCCACCTGATAACGTTCCTGTTCTTTATGGTAAATCGGACCAAAGGGTGTCAAATAATACAGAAGAAACATGAACATGAAGACGACATAATCAACAGTCAGCTTTATGTTTTTAATTCATTTAAATAAACTCAGATAAAAAAAATACAAATCTGCTAACATGTTTGCATCATGAATGTATTTATTCATCCTTAAATAGAATTTAACCTCAGATATAAACCCAGAACCAGATGTCAGACCAAACCAGGATTATTACTTTTATAACACTCAAGCTGCTGCACTTTATTTAAAATCAGATGCAAACAAAGTTCAGACTACAAAAACACAAACGTCTATCAGATCCAGTCTGAAGACAGGAAGGTTTTGGACTCTGGTCCACCAAAACCCCCAGGATCCAGCATCCAACAGGGTCTCAGTTTGGGGTTCTCCTAAACTCCAAACAGAGCTCAGCTCCAAGCTGGATATGAAACATGTTTCTGATGAACCTTCCTTCCAAAATGACTGAAACATTAGAGTCTTTTGGGATTTTCTCTCTGTAAATTCTCACTATATTCTTACATACTGCACCTTTAATGAAACAATGGAGTTTATTTATGACTGAAAAATTTTGTCTGAATTTCTCCGGTGGGTGAAAGTGAATGGAAGTCAGCTGGTACCGGACCGACCTGCGTTTCACCCCGTGTGGACTCAGCAGGGTTGGGGTGGGATATCAAGCTTCTGTTGCTTTCTTTAGTTACTGGATTAAACCAAGTTTTAGTGAACTTCCTCCTGGCTACGTTGGATCCAGTTAGGATGCAGGACATTAACGGAGACAAAAAGGTGCTGCACCGGGTCACCCTGTTTAAACATCACAGAACAGAGCGGGAACGGCTAGTCGGTTGCCCCCCCGAAAGAAAACTGCTAAATAAGGATAACATGACGTCACTGACTGTCCACTGAGAGCAGAGCCGTGTCTGTGGTCACCTGCTCACACAGACGAGCTAAGCTGATTAGCCGGGCGTCTTACTGAAGATCATAATAAAAGGCAGACTTGTGCTCAGCCTCTGCAAACAGTCACAACACTGCACCGGTGCATGAAGCTGGACCCAGTTCGTGTTACTGTTGGTACCGTGTCTCAACCAGAGTGCTGCCTTTGGTCATGTTAACAGAAACAGAACAGCTGCTAAGCTGTCGTTTATTATTAAGAAACAACAAAAGGCTGGATTCTCGTTAAAGGAGACATATTATGATTTTTCAAAGTTATAACAGTTCTATGGTGGATATAAAACTTGTTCATGAGATTTATGAAGAAAATCCCCTCAGCAGTTTTATTCTCCACAGTTTCAGTACCTTCCACAATGACCTGTTTTAGGGCTCTGTCACTTTAAAAAGAACAAGCTACAGCTGGCCACGCCCACCCACCCTACTTAAGCTGCTATAAGCTGTGAAGCTGTGATATCTGGAAGGAGCTCAGAGTAGAGTTGCTCCTCCAGCAGCAGTTGTCTATTGAGAGGTGGTTCATGTATAAAGAATTTGTGATGTCACAAACAGGGAGTTTTGGAAATGGCTCGTTTTAGGCACATCCCTAAAACCAAATGCTTACAGAAAATTGTTTTTTTCTTTGTATAGGCAGTAGAGACACACATGGCAGCACAAGAAGATGCAAAAGGCAAGTTTTGCAGAACATCTCCCCGTTAAGGATTAAGTTTGCTATAATCACATGTACTTGTTCCGAGGTGTACTGGAAATATTTCATCCAATCATCTTAATTTTAGAGCTGCGGGTTTGTAGGGAGCCTGTCTGCTGACACAGAACACAAATATTAAAGGGATAACTATTATTGGACGGAGGTTGACTACACTATTGACCGTTTGAATGTGATATCACACCGCTCATGGGCTTGCCCCCTTTGCCATGATGGGTCACAGAGAAACTATTTATGAAACTCCTGTGAAGACAGGCGCGAAAAGCCAGCTCGTAGTCTTATATTACAGTAAGTTGGTTTCCCAGTAACATGGAAAAAGCTGCGTGGTTGGCTGCACTAACAGACAAGGATATAAACTCAACTCATCTTTTTGATCAATAGCATTGATGGAGACAGAAAATGGAGATTAACCACAGTGGTACTGGACTAGCAGCCCTCAAAGTATTTTGGAATTGCAGTGAACACGTTTAACTGGGTAAGATTAACTTTGAGATATTTCATGAGGAAGACAGGGACTGACTGTGATGGACCTGGAACGATAACCGTGATGTGTTATTTAGTACCGATAATCCTATATTTCACCATGGAGGACCTGTGCTGCCGTCCACCATAGTGAATTACTAGATACTAAAAATCCTGTTGTAATGTAAGATTACATGTGTGAAAATTCAGTTATTTACCATGATGGGCTCCACCGTTGGGAGATATGGTTTCTCGCCCCGGTGTGAAAGTAGCATCTGAACTCGGTGACCTCGCCAGTGCCAGAAACTGGTAGGGATCCGCTCTCTTTTAGGTTAATCAGCTCCAGTGTAAAGTGAACGCTGTCTATCGCATGTGCACATCGCAATGAAGGGCTGCTGACATCTGACCCCCTTCACACGCTCTCATGGTCAGGGGCGACGGTGGCACAGGAGTTAAGTGCTCGCTCTGTAAACGGAAGGTTGCAGGTTCGAGTCCCGCTCAGTCTGTCGCTGTTGTTGTGTCCTTGGGCAAGACACATAACCCACCGTTGTGGTTGGAGGGAGCAGTGGAGCCAGTGCTCGGCAGCCATGCCTCGGTCAGTGTGCTGTGGCTATGCGGTAGCTCATCCCCAGCAGGGTGTGAATGTGTGCCTGTCGTGAATGAATGATTGTGTTGTAAAGCATCTTGGGGTTTTCTAGGACTCCAAAAGGCGCTTTACAAACACAGGTGATGTATTTACCAGAGTCTGACACAGTCTGTTTCCTTAGGAAACTTTTATGGCATAATAAACTGAACTCAATTGGAATGTTAAATAAATAAACTGAATTGAATAAAACCACATCAAACTAGACCAAGTATGTGCCCAGAGCCGTATTTATTAAATAACCAGATCATTCCCTTTCCTCTCCGGTCTGATGGAGCTACTAGAGCTCCCTCTCCCTTCGTGCACTCCTCATTTATTCTGTCAATATTGGAACAGATTAGGAGTCTAAGTGAGCTTGACGTGGGAAGCTTGAGAGGTTTGCTGTGGAAACAGCTGTCCAGGAAAGCAAATCGAAGCCCCGCTCAAACATCACGACACCGACGAGTCACCAGGACCAACACACCACCTGTAGCACGAAAACCATCACTCACTGTGTTTATGTCTCATTTATACTGAGCAGAGCCACACAAAGCAGAGACTTTTACAAAAACATCCCCTTCCTGCTGGTAAATGAATCATGCCTGAATAAAAAAATATGCTTTTAAAATCTGATTCCTGCTGGAGAACATTTCAGCAAGGAATGACTCTTCCTCCAAATGCATCAGAGTCTGATCCACAGCCAGTAAAATGACAGGAAGTGCTGACTATGTGCTATGAGAGAGGTATTTCCCATCAGTCCTGCTGTCTGACACTTTGGTCCCTGACCCCCCCAGCAGCCTCAGCTGTGTTGCTAATGGAGCCAGAGATAACCGTGTGGAAGTGAGCAGCGTGATGATGATGCCTGACCGGGTCTGCCACGGCAAACGGCAGATCAATAGATTTAAATCATGCAGGTGCTGGCTGACCCACATATGATGATTCTTCCTTGGTTGGCCACAGATGTGGGATCTGGTAATCTGAAAATCTGCATCAAAGTTTTTTTTTCTCTAATCTTCCTTGCCCACTCCATGATGGGTTCAGGGTATTCTCTGTAATCTTAGTGTAATGCCCTCATATCCCCCTCTCTCAGTTCCACATCACAGAACAACACAGCCGGCGCCGTGCGTGGAGCTGGGCGCTTCCTGGTGTAATGAGCCCCTTCTTGTTTCATACAGTCTCCCGGGAAGCTGCACTTGTTTCCTCTGCTGCTGCTCAACGACTCCAGGGAGACAAACGGGCATCATGAACAGAAACATTCAATTAGGCA